AATAGATAAAGCCCTTCGCGGGCTCTACTTGTCAGAACAATTTTCTGTATCTCCTTGAGGCATGGACTTCCAGGAATCCCTTCAATTAGTCTACTGCAATCTTTTCCAACCAGTCCTAGGGCTCCAACAACAACAGGGATTGTTGATATTATTGTTGTTATTTTTATTATTATTATTATTATTATTCAAAATCATCATCACCACCACCATCACACCCACTCCAGGGGTCTATTTCTTCGCCACCACACACTGGGCACTTTTCAGTTGACAAAGTCAGTCGCGTCTCTTTCACCTTCCCCCACCTGTCAATCTATTGGTCAGACGGGCAAATGTAATCCACCCAAGAAAGAAAACATCTCTTGTCACTCTTCGCATTCTGGCCTGCTTGAGGAGACATAAAAAGAATGTCTCCTCAAGCAGGCCAGAATTTGCATATGTGCAAATCCCGTCTCATAGAGACGAATAAATTCCGCCCCCAAGAGCGGTAATATTTTCTTTACAGTACTTTGCACGCAAGACACGTCCGTGTTCGTTTCGATCTCAGCGGTAAGTCATTTCTTTTGTCACAACACATATTACTACTACACAATCGCATAAGAGCGTAGGAAAAATATAATTTGGAAAAAATTAAAAAGCAAAAAAATGACTGATTGATTTATTTTTCGTGTTTTATCAAACTTTTGCGGGTTATATAACAAAACATTTTTGGAGATAATAAAAATTTTCTGATACAATTGCTACGAATTAACCCATAGCTTAGGGGTGGGTTAGGTTCATGCCTTTTCCACGGGTATTGCGCGTAATTTGAATATAAAGCTTATAGCACATGGTATTCCAAGGCGGTCACTCATATAGGTACTGACGTTGCTTAACTTCGGTGATCTTGCGAGAACCAGAGTGCCATCATGTTATCACCGTAAGTCAGTAAAAAGAAAAATAAGTTATATCGAATAAGTGAATTGTCCAAAGTTTTCTGTAATTGTTCGACAAGGACAAAGTTTGAAATTTATTCCGCCTATTATCCCACAAATATTAGAAACGTCACGTTTAATGGATATTAAAAGGGCAAAATGAAAAAAAAAAGGAAACTCCTCTGTTAAGGGTTTTGTTTTTCGAATAGTCATCTTTTGACTATTAGTATTTTCACCCATGAAACCGGATATGCGTCTAGGAGACAAAATGAAATTCTGTTTCTGCTTATTGTGCACATTTATCTACTGTAACCAAAACTATTCCCAATTAATTTAAATTAGTTTTGACATACAGCAATGTATATTGCTTGGTGGAAATATTAATTTTAATCTATTAGCTTGAATTTAAAACTAAAATAGAAGCTTCAAGGAAGATTTTTGATTTTTAGAAATCGATTTTAAATTTTAGCTAGCGCGAATCTGTAGAGGCACCTAATTTAAACCAACAAAATGTGACCAAAAGAAAACTTAATAAAATAAACAAAGAAATAACTAACAATGAATAAACCCAAAACCAAGAAGAAACTGATATAAGAAAGCGAGAAAATAAAACACAAACTAAGCAAAAAAAGATCAACCTATACAATAACTAACAGTGCTTTATACCTAGGTTATCAAAGAGCGACAAAACAAAACACGTTCGGACGGCTACTTAAGTTTTACATTACTGCGATTGTTAGGCGACAGGAAAGCAAATGAAAGAAAGAGAAACTGAATACAAATACTAATGTAATGTTTACGCTAATAAAATATGGATTGGGAGATAAAAAAAATAAAAAAAAGGCATGAAAATTAGTCGGCCTTGTAGGGGAAAAAGAAAATAAGCAAAGAAAAAACCCTGCGTATTGATTCTTTGAACTCGGAAAACTCTAAACAGAGAGAAAAAGCAATGACGTTGGCAAATGGCACAATAAGTGTTTAATTCGATGTCGGCTGTTGAACTCAAAATTTTTCTTAACAATCTGGCTTTAATATAACTAACCTTCCTGATATATATATATATATATATATATATATATATATATATATATATATATATATATATATATATATATCGGTGTAACAGCAAAATTGTTTGTTAAATTAAGCTTTGAACCGTTGTATCTTAGGAATGACCTCTCCTGATCCAGTTTTCCTCTCGACGGTTCAGGCTTTTTAAAACTTATTCACCATTCTCGTGAATGGACATTGAAGATGGAAGCCAGAGTATGAGTGTTAGTACCATTGTTGAAGTACTAAATGATCTTTTTCGTATCACCATTGCTCAGTTGGGAAGACATATTGGGCTAACATAAAATGGTTTTAAACTGTTCACTTTCTAGCTGAATAACTCAAAGGGTTTTTCAGTAATTCTTAGCAGGAGTGGTGTCATGATGACTAAACGTTTTATTTGAAAAGCTGTAAAAAAGAAACTCAATTAGTTTAGTGTCTTTGATATTAAACATTTTGTAGGATGGCCAATTATTACATGCTGTTGTTACGATTTGGACAATTTTGCTTTACAAAAAGTATGATATATATATATATATATATATATATATATATATATATATATATATATATATATGTACGAAAATTTAGTTATTGTAGTTATTGCTGACGCATTTCGTCCAATGTGAGGAAACGCGTAATTTTTTTATATATATATATATATATATATATATATATATAAAATATTACACAGAAAAGATCTAAAAACCGCTACACAATGGCAGTTGTGTTTCAATGCATATCAATGCATCTCATCAGGTGATTGTAAATTACTGGCGAGTGAACGATTTATTTAGAATTAAAATCAAAATACAAACTCTTTTTACGGAAAAAAGAAAAAAAAAAGCAATTAAACATGACCTACGTTAAATTCAAACTCAGCGAATAAGCAAGAATTTAAAATTATTTTATTATATATATAATCTTATAACCACCTATTTCCTTTTTTTTTTCATAAAAAGAGTTTTTATTTTGCTTTTAAATATAAATAAATTATTCACTCTCTAGTTATTTACAATTGCCTGATGAGATGCATTGATAGGCATCAAAACACAACTGCAATTGTGTAACGATTTTACATTTTTTTCGGTGTAATATCCTAAAATAAATAATATTGCTCTACTCTGTATTGAGCCCTGTTTTAAATTAAATGTTACGAACATTGGAATTTTACATTATTCGTTCTCATCGTATATATATATATATATATATATATATATATATATATATGTGTGTGTGTGTGTGTGTGTGTGAAAAGTCTATATAGATATAAATAAATATATATATATGTATAATTATTTATATATTATATGCGCGGTACTTATTAGAAAGCACTCAATATCAGAGATAGACTGACGATCGCTAAAGCGTGAAACACAGGGTCACAAACTCACATCTATCCAATATATAATATATATATATATATATATATATATATATATGCATGCATGTTTTCATTAAAAAGACAAATATAATAACTTCAGCCATATGTAAAAAATAAGATTAAAAATAATGGAAGCTTTAATAATAAAAAATAAAATGCCAACTTTTAACAATATTAACTATGAACAAGGCCCCAATCTGCTAACCGTATTCGGAAATTTAAAAAAAACATCTCTACAACGCACTAAAACATATACATAATGCACATACTCAAATAAGCTGAAAAATTGAATCATCCTTGATAATGGCTAAGGGTCATAGCTGGAAGTGCTCAGAACTATAAAACATTTGGACAGTTTTTACACACTCTTTGTCCAGAAAAGAAAGCTCTTGTTAGAACACAAAAATTAAATAAAAAGCTTAACCGTAGTATCTTGTAGTATCTTATCGTAGTATATATATATATATATATATATATATATATATATATATATATATATATATATATATATATATATATGAATAAACAGAAAAAACAGTAATCCGGTGTTCTTATAGATATTTTTATTTTTACAAAATAGTGCCTCAATGTAAATTTACAGAGCTTTAATATGGAAACGTGAATTATGATTTTAGCTGTGTTTTAAAACCCAGTAATTTTAAAAGTTACTCCAAAAAAATCCGCTTGAGGATGAAATGGAACTAATGTCTTTAATTTAATTACAAAATTAAATTCGGACTTTCCATTTTGAAACATGGTTAGAAACTGTAGCGGAAAAACATATTTTAAATCAATTAATTTATAATACATATATATATATATATATATATATATATATATATATATATATATACATACAACTATGTGAATTGTCCTTTTATGAGATAGGTAATACTGTACAAAGCAAAATACGTCCCATGATTCTATACACTTCGAGGTGTACATATACATATAAGCATTGATTAAATGTTATAAACAAGCATTCACCCACCCCGTTTATATAAGTTACTACTTCTTGGGTTGCGTAGATAAAGACAGCCACGTCGAATTTGTTCCACCTACACGCATATATTTCCTTCTGGCTGTCGTTATTTATTTTCGGAGTAATATTTTGAGACAGCGTTTAAATCAAGTAAATATCACTTCGAAGTCAGATCACAAAGCGACAGGAAGAAAGCACTTAAAGTCCAATCAATACTTCAATTGAAATCCATTACGAAGAAAGATGTACAAGGGAAACAGAAACGCATCTCACTTCCAGCCGTGGAACAGAAAGATAGAAGATAGATGAGAAAGAATTACTATCCGACATGAAAAAGTTGGAAAAATAGAGAGAGTTGGCGGAGGAAATGAGGGGCGTTATTTACGTGATGGTGGAGATGAAATGGTGTTGTTAACTGAATAACCTGTAGAAGATTATGGAATGAGAAAGAAGTGAAAGTGTACGTGCGAAAGTAACCATAGGAAGGAATTATATTCGGAATTAATAGGTGATGATGAAGAAGTAAAAAAAATAAGGCAAGAATAACGAGACAAATAAGAACAGTGGAAATACAGGGATGAAAATAAATTGATTATCGCGAAAAGAGAAAATGATGAATTAGATAAAAGAAGAGATTAAAAATGGAAATAAGAAGAAAACTTAAGGGGGAGCTTCAAAAGGCAAAAAGAAAATGAAGGAAGGACAAAGAAAGAAGGTAAAGGAAATATCTCGAGAATTTAAACGTTCGAGATAATATTAAAAAAGAAAAAGAAAAGAGAAGAACAAATAATATAATGAAAGAATGAAAAAGAGAATGAAGAAGAAACGACGCAGAAAAGAATGAAGTGAATGAAGAAAAAGAAAAAGAATGAAAGTGAATGACGAAACGAAGACGAAACAGAATGAAAATGAATGAAGGAACAGAGGAGGAAGAGAATAAAAGGAATGAAGAAGAAACGAAGAAATAGGATGAAGTGAATGAAGCAACTAAGGAGAAAGATAATGAACAAGAAACAAAGAAGAAAGAGAATGAAGTGAAGGAAAGAAAAACAAAGAAATAAAATGAAGAAAGTAAGGAGAAAGAGAATGAAGAAGAAACGAAGGAAAACGACAATGAATTGAATGAAAAAAACGGAGAAGAATGAGACGATGTGAATGAAGAAGTAACGAAGAAAAAAGTGAATGAAAAAACTAAGGAGACAGAGAATGAAGAGAATGAAGACACGACGAAGAAAGAGAATGAATTGAATGAAGACGGAACGAAAAAGAGGATGAAGTTAATGAAAAACGAAGAAAAAGAAGGATGACGTGACTGATAAAGCGAAGAAGAAATTGAATGAAATGAATGCAAAACCAAGAACGAAGATGAAGTGAATGGATAAAAGAAAATAGTAAGAAAAAAAAAAAGAAAAGAAGAAAATAAGAGAAGGAAAACTAAAAAAAAAAGAAGGAATTGGCGCCAGTGTAAAAAGAAAGAAAGAAACTAAGGAAGACTACCATAAAGAAGGAAGAGAAAAAGAGAGAAACGAAGAAAAAAGTGTAGGAGAAGGAAATCTTTAAAGAAAGGAAAATATGAAACGTAAATTAACAAAAAGTAAGATAATGTAGACCAAAGAAAGAAAGAGATTATGAAGATGAAAAATAAAAACAAATAGAAATAGAAGAATGCGAAAATGAAAGGGACAAGGAATAAAAGAAAACACGGAATATGAAACGAAAATATGAAAATAGAAAGGAACGTTAGCAAAAAAAGTTCAGTGTGAAAGGAATCAAATCCTTGAAGAAAGAAAATAAAGTTAATGAAGGGAATTAAGATGATAGAAAAAAAGATTTCAAAGAATATAATGGTAAAAGGAAAACAGAGCATGGGAGATAGAAACAACAACGAAAGAAGAAAAAGAAAATGGATGCAAAATAAGTAAAGAGAGATAAGATATGTGAAATAATAAAATGAAATGCGTTCATGAGAATAAAATTAAATGATACAAAAGAAAAGAAACAACAAAAGGAAAGAGTAAGAAAGAGTCTTATGAAAGAAACAGTGAAAGTAAATGAATCTATTTTATTTACAAATATTGATACGTGCTGGCAAAATGTGCAGTTAGGCATACACGTGCCGACGAATCTTCGTGTAATTCATAAGTAGACCCAGCATGCATTTAGTTAATGGTATGAATTATATAATCAGGAATGATTATTTATGCGTGAATATCCTCTGCTCATGCAAGCCCACTCGTAATATGGACCTACAATTCATATACACTGCAGGTGATAAGTATATAGGATCAGTATGTATCGGCTAAGTATATAGTCGTATACATATAAATATATATATATATATATATATATATATATATATATATATGCATGTATCATATATATATATATATATATATAAGTCTCATATATATATATATATATATATATATATAATCTATATATATATATATATATATATATATATATATATATCTGTGTCTGTGTTTCTTTTGCGTATGTGAATATATTGCAATAGTAAGTATACATTTTTGTCTGCGTTTGTAAATTGTTTTTTCTTGACACGCGCCTACACAGAAATGCCCACAAACTGATATATATATATATATATATATATATATATATATATATATATATATATATGTGTGTGTGTGTGTGTGTGTGTGTGTGTGTGTGTGTGTGTAATAAATCTTAGCACGACCTACTTCCAAAATGTGATTAAATGTTCAATTTTCATAGAATTTATGAATCCCTTCTTAGTCAGATCGATAACTATTCTACACGTTTCTATTCAACACTCTATATATATATATATATATATATATATATATATATATATATATATATATATATATATATATATTATTTTATATGTGCGATACTTAGTGGAAAGCGCTCAATATCAGTGATAGCGCTAACATATTGAATAGAGATGAGTTCAGACACTGGGTTTCACTTTTGCGATCATTGAAAAAACGATGATGATCGCGAAAGCCTGAAACCCATGCCCACAAAGTCATATCCATACAACTTATTATATATATATATATATATATATATATATATATATATATATATATATGCGTGTGTGTGTGTTTGTGTGTGTGTTCAATAAATTAATAGAAGTCACTTATCTCTTGACTGAATCCAATGTTTCGCGTATCTTAGCTCATCAGTATCAGAGGTTCTACTATATATATATATATATATATATATATATATATATATATATATATAATAAGTTGTATGGATATGACTTTGTGACCATGGTGCGATTTTCGCTTCTAGCGTCTTATATGCGCGTGTTCATCGTTGCTTAGTGATCCACTATGTAAACAAAACAATGACAGACTATCATCACTGTCGTGTCCGTATATTGTTTTATATGTTTGTAATTACATCTTTGATAATGGCTTGAGTAAGCCGAAAGCTTAGATTATATTAAAAAATAATGGATAAATATTGTGAATTTCTTTTTCGGTTAATGATAATGTTATCAAACTTATCAGAAGATACGAAAAAATTTTACATAAAATAAATAGACAACACTTGTCTATATTATTTAATGAAACGTGTATAAATATATATATATATATATATATATATATATATATATATATATATATAGGTCGAAAGAGAAAATAATGGCATCATTCAGAATCTTAGAATGGACGTCCCCATCGCTACTGGAAAGGGAGATAAAAGTTATCGGTCTTGAGAAATATATTATCTCAAAAGATTTATTCCATAGAAATAATTTATAAATTTCAGCCGAACATAGCACTGGCTGCTCGGTCATTGAATGTTGAGTATTTCCATATTGAATAACGGTTCCTAGTACCATTTCCAGTACGTGCATAATGTCTCATAAATAAGGCTTATCAACATTATTTACGACCCAATATTATATACCGCATATAATTTGCAGGAATTCGTTTAGGCAGATGTCGGCTATTCCGGATCTTGTCCTTAATGAAACAAGATCGATGTGTGGCTGAGTGAAGTGTACGAGTCAGTCATCGTTCCATTCTGTTCCTTGTGGGTTCAATGGGTGATAGGTTGAACGATCGAACAGTTTTCGGACATTATGAACTTTAAACAACTTTGAGGCTATTGCTTGAACAGTATTGAACGCGAACGGCGAGAGAACGGCTGAACATTTTTCCAGACGTACACGACGTTCCACATTCGTTCCACTAATACTAAATCCCAACCGAAATTGTACAATATGCCAACATATGCTTTGATAGTTTTGTGAGTTGCGCCTGTGTTTTATTTGTGAGTATCCTATAAAGGATGTCATTCCCCATGTCCACATCATAGATGCAAACCATTAATACTTGCCCGGAGACAAGATCTGTTTTCCTCTCCGAACATATCTAAGCGTCATTCGCTCACTAACGTAAACATTTCATATCACTACTGGAGACATACACAGAGACGTTTGGGGTAAATGAAAATATGACCAGAGGCAGGCCTAACTGTGGTTCTACTGCAAATAAACGATACCCGACTGCGTATGTTGACACACCAACAACCGCATTTGATCCGATCTACGTTGTAAACACCGTGGCCCTTCCAGTGCATAATTGGTCGAACTTTGCGAGCGTATTTCTGTATACGATTTCCGATGTTGGAATGTACTTTTTACCATTGCTGCCAACAACTAAGTACCATTGACGCTTTACCTCGGCCATGTTCTCAGAAATAGGCATCTGCTTTCTTGAAGACCAAACTAAGTGAACCAAATGAGCAGGCGTGCTTCTCTTGCAGAATGAAAACTGATTACACCGGATTCTTACACCAAACTGAAAATAATTGCAGCATGTATCACTGTCAATTGCTCAAAAAGCACGACACTGGTATCAATATCTATTATGGGAACTTACCCATAATAATAATGGTCTATTCCTGACACTATAAATACTTCGCCTCTCAAGAGGTATGAAGATATTGAAAGACGATGAGAGATAATTGAGAGCATATTGTAAGGACATTGGAATAGTGATACTTGTCGAGACAACATAGTTCACTCAAACCAAATCTGATAGTCATTACTAATACTTCTACTTCTTTGTATTATATTTCTGTTGTACTATATTTTTGTATTCCATACTTGTGTTCGTGTTATTCTTTCATTGGTTCTAACATTGGACCATCACCATGGTACAAGGAACTTGGACCATAACAATATCAATACCTCATAGAATGGTTGACAACTTTGCAAATGTTCTTTGAATATCTATTACCCAACAACATAGACGTAATGGCTACAGGACAAAACTACATCATCTTATGTGTTGCTATTATATAAGACATGCATATTACCTTTGTGAATATGCTAAAATATGTTTGAAATCAATTTACTAATATATTTATAAACATGTGTTTATTTTATAAACTATTAATAATCGTCAACAAGGCTAATATGTCTCTACATCTACATATATGTGTGTGTGTGCTTGCATTAAACAAATCTGAGTTACCTCCCTTGGCTAAAACTTCCTTTTTTGAAATAAAGGCCATTAAAAAAGGTATCTTACTTTTTAATTATTAAAAATAAACATGTTCAAAAGACGTTAAGACAAGAAAAAGTTTTAAAAATGAAATTATCATCAACCGTGTCCTGATTTTTTTTTTAATTAGTATAACATCATGTAATGCTTACTTCGTACTACGTCGGGTAATGTCTCTCTTTACAATTACTACAGAATATATAATTACTAAGCAGACAGCTTGTGAGGCGCAACAATAATAATATATATATATATATATATATATATATATATATATATATAGTTTATGAAAAACTAGGTAATCCGTATGGGTAAACCAAAGGAGGATAAAATCCAGAGAGCTCAATGTAAATCCAGAGCAAATAATTTAAATTTCTTTATGACCCCCCCTCCAAAAAAAACACTTTCAAAGAAAAGCAAAATAACAGCGTCTGTTTCTAGCTTTTTTTTTACAAAGAAAATTAGTGACATCTTCTCTCATAACTTCCTTCTCTCTTTTTCTCTCTATGGGTTTTTTCTTCTCTACCCCTTCGATATCAATATATAACTTCCGTTAAGTTAACCGTTTAAATGTGTCAATATCTGCTAACTCATTCATGTCTTCTCTCCCCCCCTCACATCCTCACTTCGTTAATTTACATATGTTTAATACGGCCCGTCAAAAATGTGTAAATTTTCTTTGCATTTTGTTTGAAGTAAAGTCTGATGATCCGCAGTCCTTTTAAAATGGCTGTGGTGAAATAATTTATTACATGGAACCTTAAAGTGGTCTGTGTTTATTTAATATATATATATATATATATATATATATATATATATATATATATATCATACAAACAGAATTATGATACCATTATGTCAATGATCATTTTCACTTTGCAAAATTAAATTTACAGGATTTTTTCAAACAGTCAATGGATGACAAATCACGCAAAAAAATCTTGTATGAAATATATTGTTCTGTTTATTATAAAACACTAGGCTCTATGTGTGAATCAGTTATAATATTGAATATTTTATATTGTGTTAATAGGATTCACTTGGATTATATACCAACTTACTACTTACATATATATATATATATATATATATATATATATACATATGCATGTATATATGTATACATATATATAACATATACATATATGTGCTTATATGACTGTGTATGACAATTTTCTAAGCGTAGCTTAGATGTGGTACAAGGCCGAATGTATGGGGTACACAGTGATGACTGTACTCTCTATTCAGTAGTAATTGATCTACCGAGACAAGCTTGCTAACAATTACAACACGTCAAGTGCCCATATATGCGCGAATGTGTTTATAATCCTTGTCAGATAGACTAAGAAGGCAA